AAGCAAACATTACAAATTAATATATATATATATATATATATATATACACATATATATAAACACAAGAAAATAATAAAGTAACCTTATAAGTATTAAGCACTTGGTGGCATAAGTGTGCTTTCCTATTAATTACCCCATGTAAACAAAAGCTGTAAACTTTTAAGTGACTTACATGGGATATTTGCTACCATGATGCACATTTCATAACAACAACATGCTATTTTTATTTAAAACACAAAACAAGTAGCAATGTTTTGGCCTCCTTAAGTCATCATCTGGTTATGAATAATTTTTTCATATCATTCTTAACCTGATAATGATCTAAGGAAGCCAAAATGTTGTTACTTGTTTTGTATTTTAAATACCTACATCAGTCATCTCTTTCATATATTTACTTTAAATTGGTTCCTCGTCACCATGACCAATATGCTACTATAGTCAGCTTAAAATCTCTTTGCAAATAATCATTGTAAGATAAAACTTATTTCAAACTTTTTTCTTTAGAATTAAAAAAAACATTTAATATTTCTTTGCAGTTTGAATCAGTAAAATAATGTCTTCATTCAAAATAATACAAAACCATATTCTAAATTCACTCTATTTTCCCTTCTTTTTTATTCTATTTTTTTCACCTTTCATTTTGAATACTATCATGATTTGTAGTCTTTGCAGGATTTTTGACCCAAGAGTATATGTATTGCTTTTACCTGCATCTTTACATTTACAAGTTGATCAGTTCTAACAACGTTAAGACGGCTTATCTACTTCTTGAGAAGAATTCTAAGAAGAAAGTAAACCTACAGACATCGGTCTTGTTTAACAAAATCTGCCTACATATATATATATATACATACATACACACATGTAATGGAAATATTTAACCCTAACTAAATGACATTTCATTTTCTAAATGGTGTTTTCATATTGTGAATGCATTTGTTGAAATGTGAAGTTTCCTTATTTTCGAGAACTTTTTCCTCTTAGTACCTGGAGGGACAAGTCTAACCTGACCTATGGTATTTTTTCTTGTTTTTAATAACTAATTTCTAAGATACTGAAAAATAAAAATCAGTAAAACCACTTTTGCCTCATTGCATAGGTAAGTTTACTACTTATAGATTTTGCTACTTATACTTATAGCTGGAAGTGACAGTGGCATTCAGGAAATCATCAATGAAATCTGGAAAATGTTGATTGAAATGCACTAATTATATTTTGCCTTGAATCTTTCTGTGTATAACTTTGTGTAAAAGTTCAGAAATAAAATCAAAATTAAAACTTGACTGTACTAAAAAAAGCTAATTTTATATGTTCTCAGAAACTGAAATTTTGCATTAAGATTTAGAAAGTTATAAAAATGCATTCATTATTCAGTAGTATCTAAATTTTAATCAAATAATTTCTGAACATGAACTAAGACAGTATTTCATGGTAAAATAAATTTTTAAAAAGTTATTGAAGTAAAAACATTGCAGTTTTCCACGTGTTTGCAAACTCAGCACAAATCTGTGGGATAAGTGACCAATGTATAGGGTATCATGTGGTATTTGTGAATGAAGCATTGCTACCACATAGAGTTAAGTGAACAGTGATGTTTGCTAATCATTTAATTGTTGGGCTCGTTCAGTTAAATGGACTGTGTTCTGCCCTGTGTGGGTATTGAAGCCCAATATTTAGTGTTATACAAGTTTATATATATATATAACCATCTGAAGTGAGAACAGTCAACCTGTAGCTTTGTGCTTAACAACAAATAAACTTAATGTCAATATTTTGATTGCTTGGATAGTTGAAATAATTGAAAATAGTAATAATCAGAATCTGTAACTTTAATTAGTTGATTACTTCACTCTGTTCAGTTGCCCAACTTTAGTACCATGTCCATGAATTGCGAAGTCTCTCATAAAACAGGCTCTCTTTTTTTACACACAGAATACATACATTTAGTCAGTTGGTGAAATGGTGTCCAAGAACATGATTTTTGCCAAATAACCAACCTGCACCTGGGCTTTTATAATGTATACTTATTTCCTCCATTAGGATTTCATTTCGAATATTATCCCTTCATTGCTCCAACATGTTTTCCATGGGCACTTTATTCAAAACTCTAACAATTTTGAACACTTGATTATCTCTTCATAGCTTTAATGTTTGAAGTATCAGTATCTTTTCTATAAAAAATGAAAGGGGGGGGGGCAAAACTGTACACAATACTTTAAGTAAAGCTTTACCAAAGTTTTTATAATTATATGATAATCTCTCCAACTCTTAATTTCTTTGCTCATTACCACTTTTAAATGTTCAGTTGAATGTTTGAGACTCTTATCAATCATCACACTCAAATCCTTCTCACTCTTCACAACATTGGTATATCTTACATAAGAAACTAAGGTCTTTCCAAATTTCCATGCCTTAATTGCATCACTTCATATTTTTCATTGTTGAATCTTATTTTCTACAGGCAAGTTTAATGAGCAAAATTGTCCAATCCTTGCATTAAGGAAGTATTTTCCAAAGAATCTGCCATACCAAGCAGTTCTATATTATCAGAAAATTTACAAATGTTACTGCTTAAACAATAGACTGTATAATTGACATAGATGATAAAAGACATAGGTCCAAAACGGACCCTTGATGGACCTTGCTAGTAACGGTTTTTCTAGCCAGAATGGTTCTTGTTTACTATTACTCTGTTTTCTTTCTTCAAGCCAATTTTTAATTCACATCTTGGGTTTCTGTCCAAACTTTGAAAGAATGATTTACTATTTAACCTAATATGAGGAATCTATCAAAAGCCTTCTGGAAGTATAGATATACAATATAACATCATCAGGGATACCCTCATCTTCAGAAGCATAAGCTCCATCAAGAAACTCAAACAAATTAGTGATACCGAAAAGCCACTTTCTAAAGTTATGATCAGAGTTTGTAATCAGATTCTTAGACCCTTTTTCCAAATGAACCCTACAATGGATTCCAAAATCTTAATAACGGCAGAATTCAAGCTATTTGACCTGTAATTTCCTGAGTCTTCCCATAACTACTTCTTTTTTTAAAAAAGGCATCACATTGGCTATCTTCCAGTCATCAGAAATTTCTCTTCTTAAGTTTTCACTTACCTAAATGTGCACAGAATCAAAACAATGGACCAACCCTGTATTGGAGATGGAATGTTGACAATAATTCCAAATTTACTGCTTATGACAGCCTTTTTGTAAAATATATAACTTTTGTATGCCAAACATTATATGTATTAGTAAAGTATTTGTACTAAAGATATGTCTATGAATAGACTCAACTCAGTCTCTGGCAGGTCAGAGTGCAAGGTGGTGATCATGAAGCAGAGTAGGGTTCAGTGCCATAAACAAACCTCCAAATTGAGAACCCTGATTGAGAACCATGAGCTTAGATGATGGCAAGTGACTGCATTGACAAGTTGCTCAATCACTGAATATTTTATGAAACAGAGTAGGGTTCAGTGCCATAAACAAACCTCCAAAGTTACTTATGGCCAATTTGAGATTTTGGCTAAATCCACTTGTATAAAATATATATTTTAGATACAGTGACATGGTTTAGAGATGCTATAATGAAGTGTGAATATATATATATAATACACACACAAATATTACTAGAAATTCAAATTTACCACTATACCTCCAAAAAGA